TTGGACCCCCCCCCCCCCCCCCCCCACTCGACGTTATTTTTGTTCCGTCCCATCTGTATTCTGGACGCCAGTCTCTACCCTAATTTTCGTCGTCTATCGATGGCGATGTGCACCTACTACTGCTGTACAAATATTCTGACAGCTGATCACATTAATCATAAGCACCCTGCTGTAGACAAGAGTGGAGATACGAGAATTCCAGCAACGTAAAACTGACTGGACTCTCCTCGGTTCCTCGCGATTGGCGCGCCGGCCACAAGATTGTTGAAAAGGACGCAATAGTCCGTCCCCCCTCCCCGCCACAGACAGCAGTGCTGCTGCACGGCTGGAAAAAGAAAAGTAAAGAAGAGTAGCACAGCAGTAGTAGGGGCCCCGGTTTAGCGACCCCCTGTTTAGCGACCCCCTGTTTAGCGACATGCCCTGTTTAGCGACCCCAAAATCTCGTGACACCGCTGCACCTCGGTTTAGCGACCACATGGTCGCTAAACCGGTCGAACCCTCAATAGCGACTTATTGGGCTGTTTTCAGCGGGCAATAGGGACCAGCGGTTCAAATTTTGCGGAGACCCCGCGTTCCTCCATACACAAAGAAAGACACAAGACCGCGGGACACGTACACACACGCAACATGCCGTGCGCTGATGGAGAGTTGTGCAAACAGCCGGATGTGGAACTGCGGGCACCCCAGGGGCATGCTTGCCATGGTGGCTGCGGTGTACGCCTGCACCTGATGTGTGGGGAGGTGGAGGTTCTCGATGGCATCGAGATAGATGCACAGCAGCACCTACCTGCCACAATGTGCATCTAAGGCTTCCCCACCCGTCTCGAATCCACTAATAAACGAAAGAGAGAAATAGAGGTCGATGGGGATGGAGAAGTTGGCGGTGCGGGGGGTGGGGAAGTGATGGCGCCGCCGCCCTACTCGGAGTTATCGCAGCATTTTGGATCGCTTCAAGAGTGTGAGGAGTCGTAGACTAAGCGAGGCGGCGTACGTATCGTCTTGGCAAGGCAAAGATGCTGTTCATCGAAGCACACTCCGCGAAGAAACCAGCGCGACAGATGGACATCAGAGACACGTTGAGTTAAACATGATCGGTAACACGCGACAGAAGCAGAATGAAGTCACTAGCAGCGCGAGGTTCTTTGCCACTTGGGCGTTCACGAACTCTTCGTGCCATCCGGATGTTTCATTTTTGTGTTTTGGGGTACTTTTTATTTCTTGATGTATGCACATGTATGTAGCGACAGATTATTCTGCATGCGTGAACAACATCACAAAGGGCACCCTCTGCACTTGTTGTTGAGACATTCCCTACAAACTTCGGAGGGTACAATAAACATGCTGGTTGACTAGACTACTCCCCGGTTGTCCATCCCAACTAAGGGCCGTTTTAAACTGACCGACTTTTTGTCAAAATTTTTGAAAGTGTGGCGTTTGTCCATTTTTTTCAAAAATATTTGGAACGAAGTTGGGCGCGAAAACTTTGCTCCACTTCGTTCCAACTTTTTGACAACCCTCTCAAAGTATTTGGAGCACTTTCCAAAGTACCCTTGCAGAGGCACGCGAGGGCTGCTGCGTCTGCACCACGAGTGCCCCTCACCGTAGAAAGTCAGCTAGGGTTGTGTGTGAGTCATCGCCGACCGTAGAAAGTGCGGCGCGCCTACAGATTCGAGCGGCTCTCCTCGCCCACGGGCACGCGCGAAAAAATAAAAAAACGGCGGTCCGCCATGATGGCTTGCAGTTGTTGCTTCGCGTCCGCCGCTTTGTTTTTTCCTTTTCCCGGGGGGGTAGGAGCAGTGGTTG